AAAAAAAAAAAAAAAACTCTACACCAGAAAATAACAAACTCCAACAATGTGAAGACTGAACGAATTAATACTAAAGTAAGTCATATTCAAAACAAAAAATGCCCCATAAGTTAATCTACTAAACTGACACGAAATTACAGAAGTTATTGGATGATAAAAGTTATGGCTTTCTCTTTTATACCACAACACAAGAGATCCAAATTTCCAACAAAAAATCAACAAAAACAACCCCAAAATAATAAATAAAAGAAAAAACCTCATTCAAATTACTACAACAGTTCCATCTAAAACCTCACCTTCTGTGCCCCCCATGTAAAGATTTCTGTGACCCTTCAAAAAGATCAAGAACATAATCCTCCAAATCATCTGCTGTGTACTTAATATACCTCTCACTAACATGATTCATATGCCTCCCCACAAAAGTCCTGTAAGCCTGCACCACATTAAGTGAGGTCCATATCCTAAGATCTTCCCTAAGCTGCCCGTCCCTAACCGACCAGCCCGTCTGGCTCTTGTAAACCTCCTCGAACGACACGTAAAACCTCTGCAGCCTCTCCTTCAGAACCCCCCTCGAAACCGAATTAGAGCCCGGCACGTTCTGTAGCCCCTCGTCCTTCAGAAGACCAATAATCGAGCTCCAAGTCGCCCGCTCGTAATTCACCGCGTGCTGTTGGAACTGCCAGTTGCGCTTCCTTATCCAATCGTCCCCGAGCACTTTCCTCAGTTCCGAAGCCTTCACTTTTTCGGCCATGTAATGCACGTTGTTCAGCAAGAAAAGGTGCTGCTGGGCCTCGTCCCTGTACAGGCCCGATTTCCCTTCCAAATTCCGCTCGAGAATCGAGGTAAGGGCCCGAAAGTGCCGGCCCATTGTCGACTCGTTTTGATCCGGGCCTTGCGGGTCCCGCAGGACCTCGTTTAGAGTCTCGTCATAGTCCGTTAGGGTTAGCATGTAGTTCATGACGTACTTTGTGAGCGGGTGGACTCCACCGCCGGGAAACGGGCCGGACGAGATGTTCGACCCGACGGCAGTCTCGAATTCGAGGAAAGTCGCCCGAAGGCACCCGTCGAGCCTCCCGAGGACTTCCATGCACTCGGCCCAAATGCTTGACGGGCCGTCACCGAACAGGGCCACCAAGTCCGGACCGAGGCCCGACAAGGCCTCGCGCATGTCGAGGATCCGTATCAGCTTCTCGGGTTGGTGGGGCCCGACGGCGATGGCCTCGGCAAAGTCGAGCAGGCAGAGGAACACGGGCCGGGACGACTCGGAGAAGCAGGCGGGCCCGGCGGGCCCAAGGACCTGGTCGGCCAGGAGCCGCTCGGCTGCCAGGTGGACGCGCACAAAGAGCTTCAGCGCACGGACCCACCTACGTATCCTCGAGTCGAGCGGGCCCCACTCCATCTTCAGGACGTCCTCGATGCTGAGCTTCTCGAACTCGAGCACGAAGAGGCAATCGTCGAGCGCATCTTTCTGAACGGTCACAAACACCTGAGAGCACTCACGGCCATAGTTCGAGTCGAACATTAAATTCGCAATGCTTCTAAGGTCCGAAATCACTTCCGGGCGAATGAGCTCGACGGTGTACTCTTCGTGAGCCCGCCCCGTCGTGCTGTCCCTGCGTAGCCCGTCGTCGAACACCGAGTCATCCCCGGAGGAGATAATCGAGCAGGAATCGATATTTTCGTCTTCGCTCGAGCGAAATGAGACGTGCTCGGGCTCGAAAGTCTGTCTGTTGTGCACCAAAAGGTGCCGGAACTCGTCCTCAAGTCGAGACATTGCCATCTGGAGCAAGTCGTGGGCCCGAATCAGTAAGTTGCTGGAAAACGAGTCGTTTTCCGATTTCTCGATTATTTTCCGAATTTGGTCGGTGGATTCGAGATACTCGTGTGCTTCTTGAGTGCCGCAATCCCATATCATGGACTGATTCTTTTCCCAGCACATGATCTTGTCCTGAATCTCGTCCAGTTGTTGTTCGACATCGACGTGTCCTTCGTTTTTTTCTTCGGGCTCATCTTCATCTTCACTTTCATCGGCCGCCCGGCTAATGCTGATTAATCGAGAACCAAGATTTGCCAATATCTTCTTGGCATCAACTGAAAACTTCTTTTTCAGTTCCAATGCTTTCACAATTTCTTGAGCAGCAGCAACTAAATCTTCTTCTTCCCTTTCTTCTACTACAAATGTTGTAGCTGCACAGTCCCCCATTTTGTACAGGAAAAACCCTAATTCTTCTAAATTAGGGGAAAAAAGCAAATCCCCAGATCTTATCTCTATCTAACTAGCTTCATAAGCAGCAGCCATTCAATTAACTTACGATGATTACAACAAAATCCCCAAACGAACTTACACAGCATCAGAAAAATCCCAGCCAAATTTCACAAACAAAACAGAACAAACTCACAAACAAGGCATTCTAAAACAAAAAATCTGTATCTTTTTTCCAGCACAAAAAATCAACAACAGGGCTGTAGTTAAAAACTGCAAATTTGAGCTAGGCACAAAAAAAGCAAGCTTGCAGAAAGAGGGAGCAATTAAAAAAGGGAAAAAAAAAATTAAAAATTGAAGAATATCTGACTGACCCTTTTACTGAATGGACCTCAGGAGCTGAAAAAAGGGTGTATTAATGGCCGATCCAAAGGAATTATCCATGGATCTTTACTCGGTCATAATGCTTGATGCAAAAGAAAAATGCTTGATGCTAAAGAAAACCCATAAAAAAAGATCTTTGTTGATGATGATAATAGTCAAATGGGTGTGATTTTTTAGAATTTCTTTGAAGCTGCTTTTTGTTGGGACCCTTTTGAGTGTTTGGACTGTTGCCACTTGCCAGTCTTCCATGGGACTCTGAGAAAATATTAAGTCAATTTTACACTGTTGGTTTTTAAATATTTTTATCTTTCTTTGTAACTAGTACAGTGCGCCCTTGTGATGCACGGGGCTTTATTATTTCTTTCATATTCAAATTAAAATTGTATAATAAGGAGCTATCATGACATTATTAAATATAATGAAAATGAAATATCTATATTATTGAACACTTCTTTATATACACAATTATTAGATACAATGATAGAAAAATATATGAATATATATTGCTAAGACTCTAAATCTATAATTGAGAAGACGATCATTTGGGTTGGAACACCTTTGACAATTTTCATTTGAATATATAGGTTGTATGGAAAAACCAATCTAATAATATCTACAAAAATATAAGACAATTCATCATATTAAAGCTTACGCATTAAGACAATTTGGGTCTGTGTTTATTTGTCTTGCTGCTATTTTATTTGATAGTTAGTGTTTTGGCTGTTATGAGGCAGTATGTTGCCTTGATTGTTTTCTCTGTTCCTTTGGTGTGGGTGTTATTGCTTTGGTCAGTTTGGTGTTGTTTGGGACTGAAGTTTCCTAGCTTGTTGCTAGCTTCTATCCTATGGTTAGTGTCTTGTAGTTTTAGCACAATGTTGTAGTGTTGCTGTCAGGCCTTGCGGCCATCTCGATGTTTGCTCGTTGTACTGTTTATGTTTTTTTGTTTTGTTATGAGAATTCTACCGCTTGAAAAAAAATAAAAATAAAAAATATTTGGTAATTTGATAAAGGTTTCACATTAACTTAATTCAATTTTATTTTTAAAATTAATTTGATAATGATTAACACAAAGTTAAGAATCTAATTGATATTGTTAGAAAATAAAAAAAAAAAAATGATAGAAAATCTAAATTTGTTTGATTCTCATTACCTAAAAATCTCTAGATTTTTATGGGATACCAATTGATTACTCAGAAAGAGTTATATTGGGTGTATAGCTATTAGTTGGAAAAAACCTTAGCATATAGGCACATAATATACATTCCAACATTAATTGATTGGTTTGATTTTTTGAAAAAGCAAAAATGTCAAATTTTGGAAATTAACACAGATTTTGTTAGGAAATTTAAAGAGGATGATTTTATGGAAGATAATTATTTGTTGACATTTTTAATGTGTATCAAAATTTACTTGAAAGTGTTGTATTGGAAGTGTATCACTATTACTTGACATAAATGAATTACCAAATTTTAAATGATTTGCATTCGAATTTTAAGTTGATTTGAATTTATTTTCTTAAATAATTTGATTATTGACGTCAGCAAAATATTTATCCAATTTTATTAAAAAAATAGATATGAAACATGTTGTATATTGTGTTTGAAATACTAAAAGCTTGAAATTATGTTATGTTATTTTTAAACATCAATAAGATAATAAATTAGTTAAAAAAAAGTAAAAAAAA